GTTTAGATAAACGCTCTACTGATTTAAATATTTGGCAGCAGGGTCTCGAAATAACCGATTCTTTCGGTTTTAACATAAAGTTGGATTGAACGAAAGTTCGTCAGTTCAGAGTTTGAAAGTATACAAGAGTTAGAATTAAAAAAAATATTTAATTGGCGTATGCGTTAGTTCATTATAAAACAATGAATAAGACAATATTAATTAAATTTATAATCTATCACATGTTATAATCTTAGATCTTATAAACTTCGTGGATAAAGCAATGCCATATGCAGGCCTGTTCCTGGGGTATCTGGCGCCTACGTGCAGCATTCTTTGGTGCGCCCTTTTTATATTTAAATCAATTATATATTTTAATCTTAATCTCAAAAATTTAAAGAATTTATATTCTGCGAGAAACGAGCAAAATGTAATTGGAAATGTAAAAAAACTATTCTAATTAAAGTATAAAAACATTTATTAAATAAAGAAAACAAACAAAACCACAAAAATATTTAGTAACATAAATAGTACCCTAAACAAAAAAACTGACCGATTTTATATGAAATACATAAAAACAATATACTAAAAATCGGAAATAATATGCATGTACTGAGTTCTTTCAAAAATCGACAACTATGAAACTATGAACCCTTCTCGAACACAAACGGTACATTGTAAGAAAGAAAATTGTAGAGAGAAACAAGCCCTATAACATAGGATACAACATTTTAATGAACAGTGGTTTCCATAAAATCAATAAAATAAAAAATATACGAAATAATATACATGTACTGATTTCTTTCGAAAATCGACAACTATGAAACTATGATCCCTTCCCCGACAGAAACGGTATATTGTGAGACAGGAAATTATAGAGAGAAACAAGCCCTATAACATAGGATACAACATTTTAATGAACAGTGCTTCCATAAAATGAATAAAATGAAAAATATACGAAATAATATATCTACATGTACTGATTTCTTTTAAAAATCGACAACTATAAAACTATGATCCCTTCCCCGACACAAACGGTATATTGTGAAACAGAAAATTGTAGAGAGAAACAAGCCCTATAACATAGGATACAACATTTTAATGAACAGTGCTTTCCATAAAATCAATAAAATGAAAAATATACGAAATAATATACATTTACTGATTTCTTTCGAAAATCGACAACTATGAAATTATGAACCCTTCTCGAACAGAAACGGTACATTGTAAGAAAGAAAATTGTAGAGAGAAACAAGCCCTATAACATAGGATACAACATTTTAATGAACAGTGCTTTCCATAAAATCAATAAAATAAAAAATATACGAAATAATATACATGTACTGATTTCTTTCGAAAATCGACAACTATGAAACTATGATCCCTTCCCCGACACAAACGGTATATTGTGAGACAGGAAATTGTAGAGAGAAACAAGCCCTATAACATAGGATACAACATTTTAATGAACAGTGCTTCCATAAAATGAATAAAATGAAAAATATACGAAATAATATATCTACATGTACTGATTTCTTTTAAAAATCGACAACTATAAAACTATGATCCCTTCCCCGACACAAACGGTATATTGTAAAACAGAAAATTGTAGAGAGAAACAAGCCCTATAACATAGGATACCACATTTTAATGAACAGTGCTTTCCATAAAATCAATAAAATGAAAAATATACGAAATAATATACATGTACTGTTTTCTTTCGAAAATCGACAACTATGAAACTATGATCCCTTCCCCAACACAAACGGTATATTGTGAGACAGAAAATTGTAGAGAGAAACAAGCCCTATAACATAGGATACAACATTTTAATGAACAGTGCTTTCCATAAAATCAATAAAATGAAAAATATACGAAATAATATACATGTACTGATTTCTTTCGAAAATCGACAACTATGAAACTATGATCCCTTCCCCGACACAAACGGTATATTGTGAGACAGGAAATTGTAGAGAGAAACAAGCCCTATAACATAGGATACAACATTTTAATGAACAGTGCTTCCATAAAATGAATAAAATGAAAAATATACGAAATAATATATCTACATGTACTGATTTCTTTTAAAAATCGACAACTATAAAACTATGATCCCTTCCCCGACACAAACGGTATATTGTGAAACAGAAAATTGTAGAGAGAAACAAGCCCTATAACATAGGATACCACATTTTAATGAACAGTGCTTTCCATAAAATCAATAAAATGAAAAATATACGAAATAATATACATGTACTGATTTCTTTCGAAAATCGACAACTATGAAACTATGATCCCTTCCCCAACACAAACGGTATATTGTAAGACAGAAAATTGTAGAGAGAAACAAGCCCTATAACATAGGATACAACATTTTAATGAACAGTGCTTTCCATAAAATCAATAAAATGAAAAATATACGAAATAATATACATGTACTGATTTCTTTCGAAAATCGACAACTATGAAACTATGATCCCTTCCCCGACATAAACGGTATATTGTGAGACAGAAAATTGTAGAGAGAAACAAGCCCTATAACATAGGATACAACATTTTAATGAACAGTGCTTTAATTTAATCAAGATGTAACTGATGGCAAAAAAACGCAACGGAGAAATTTTTGGTCAAATTTAAAGTGTTATATTTTTGTTATTTTTAGTCCTATTTTCATGAATTTTCTAGCAAACTGGGTATAATTATATCAACTTTAATTCGTAAACTAAGTTTTTTTATAAACTTTAGTATTTGGCATATTATACAGGGTTAATCGAGGGGTTGTTTTTTTACCCTAACTTTAAAACACCCTGTGCAATAATTTCGTGTGTAAATTTTCCGAAAATATAATTTTACTGTCAGAACCATGACTCCTGAGCATTTTGTTTTTTGACTCATGTCAATACATCCTTTGGTTAATTTTTAAGAGCGAAATAAACTGATCACGATCAATTTGCTGTTTTTTTCAATTATCATTACTTTTTGATGTAATTTTTTAATATGACGAGATGGTTTTGGTTACTATTGTCGTAATGTCATATCACGCTGCATTGGATACTTAACATATAATTAACGATAACAGAACTAACGATATTAAATAAAGCATCTGTAATATTTAAATACACAAACAGAAAAAAAAATGTAAAAAGGATCCTAATACTTTGCATTGCTTCCCTTGACTGCTATAACTACCTGTATAAGTCCGTTCATACTGTCATTAAGGCTGCATATATCATATTGCATTATACTTTCCCATTCTTCTTTAAGAACCAAGCGAAAGTTCATTTAATGAACCTGATACCGCTTCGCGACCTCTAACTTTTCTGCCAAGCATGTCCCAAACGTCGAACATGATGGACAGTTCATAGTAGCATATAGTTCACAATAATCACCAAAGTCGGCTTGTCATATTGAAAAATAACTTCAAAAAGAAATGATAATTGAAAAAATTGCAAATTGTTGGTGTCAAGTTCATTTCGCTCTTAAAAATTAACCAAAGCATATTTTGACATGCTCCAAAAAACAAAATGCTTAGGAGACATGGTTCTGACCGTAAAATTATATTTCAGGAAAATTTCCACACGAAATTATTGCACAGGGTGTTTTAAAGTTAGGGTAAAAAACAACCCCTCGATTAACCCTGTATAATATGGAAATAGTAGAGTTTATAAAAAACTGAGTTTACGAATTAAAGTTGATATAATTATATACAGGTTGCTAAAAAATCATGAAAATAGGGCTAAAAATAACAAAAATATTACACTTTAAATTTGACCCAAAATTTTTCCGTTGCGTTTTTTTTGCATCTGAGTGTATTTTGAAAATATTTGTGATAATATTTCAATATACTTTTTATATAAATTTTAAACAAAAATTAAATCATATATCGATAAATTCTTTTTTAAAAATGTTTTAAAATACTACTTTGAAAAATATCTATGATGAATGGGCAACACATAGAACCAGTAACCAGAGAAACATTAAATATGTTTTGACATTGAAGTCAAAACAATAAAAAAAATAAACTGTCGCTTTCAGTTCCACACCGTCTTCGATATCCCTTCGCTAACCGAATAAGTGTTTAATGCGTTGGCCGCAGAACGACTGGTGTCTCTACAGTACAGCACTTGAGACGTAAGGGGAAATTAAATCTTGTCACGAATTCGCCCATTAGGTTGCGTATCTTCCCAATTCTTTCAATCAACGGTAATACATTATAAAACTTTCTATTTTTTTTTTAATAAATGTTCTAATTTCAAACAATTAAAAAATCAGTTAAATTAAAAAATGAGTAAAATAAAATGCTAACACTGATAAAAGATTCAGATAAAAGGTGGCTATTAGCAAAGGCAAAAAGTTTTACAAGCCAATTTATAAATCAAAGAACTCTAGATTATATCTATAGAGTTAGAATAAATTAATATGTCTTGTTATTGAAAGCTAACAAAAATACCAAAATTCTAGTGTTCTTACGACAGAGGTCGAAATTATACGTTAATATTAATTAAGCTAATGCACCTTAAACATTTTATTAAGGGTTTCAGACTACCCTAGGGTATTATTATCACATGACGTAAAATGGCACTTTACATGACCATTTATATCAAGTGGATTTTTTTAATTAAAAAAAAATGTTCAGAGAAAAAAGTAGGTATGTGTGTTTCTATAACACAACTATTTAAGGTCTACTTAAATTATAATAAATAATAACAATAATTGTATCTGTAATTACAGAAAATATATTATTGAAAAGAGAAACGTTTTATATAATAAATATAATATTTAGTTTAAATACTATGAAATAGTAAATTTTCTTCCTCTTAATATACGCGTACTATTATGAACCACAACTGCTTCCTAAATATATTTGCTTATTTGAAATTATTCTTAAAGGTTATGATTTCAAAGATTTAAAATATTTATTCTAACAATAATAAATATATAATAATATATTAAAATAATCTAATTTTTTAAAAGTTTCTTATTATGTAAAGTATATTAAAAATCATTTTTTTCCTTACCTGGATGCACCTCTTGCATCTCGGGGAAGTGAGTTAAATTTAGTTGTAATATCGCCACCAGGAGCCGCCATTGAACCTTGACGTGCGAGAGTAGGGATTGTGCTGTGTGGTACTGGAGCTGGAACCGATGGTCTATCCCTGGAAAAATGAATAACCACACAATCATATACATCAGGCAATTAAAATGAATAGTTGCGAAGATCAGATATTTAATATTTCTTATCTAAAAACAAAACATACTGTGAAATTTGAAATGTTCATAATTTCCCTGTATCTGATATCCATTTATTTAAAATACTGATCCTCATACACATATATCCAAAAAAAATGAAAAATAATATTAAAAACAAAATCTTGTTCCAAAAACCATTCTTTTAATGATTCTTTTGAATAGAAAATCTATAATTTTATATACTGACAAGAGCAAAATAAAACACTAATTCACCACAATATACCAAAACACTTTACTTTGGCACTGGGTGCGCGTTTCGCTAAACATGCTAGCATCATCAACAGATGATTAAAACCAAACTAATATCTACATATTATGTTCTACAGTATATAGTTCGAATTTAGGATGTTTTGATTTAGATTAAGATAGTTTAATCATATTACATGTTTTCAATTCTAAACTTATTGTGATAAATTTGTTTTTAATTCATATATTTCAACAACATTAAAAATAACAAATTAAATAAAAAATCTGAATAATAGATTTCTTTCTCTTTTTCAAATAATCTTAATAAAATTTTACTCGTACTATTTCATTTTCATTAAAAACAAACAATTTTGTTTGCTTTCACAAATTCTGTCCCACAGTGATGAATAAAAGTACATGATAAAAAGCTATATGAACTAGGTAAGTGTATATATAAACGTTTACTGAAATTATAAGAGAAAAAGTAGGCTTTAATTACTTCTTTAAAATAATTTACAACATTAAAGTGCCAAAAACAGGTAATATCTGTTTAACGAGAAATCACATGACAGTGACAGTTGTTGTCTCCCATTTTAATTCACGGTTAAACTAAATTTTTTGTAATTTTTGGATCATCTGGCAAAATCTTCTCCTTTTTTTATTGTACAAAAGTTAAAAATAGATTCATCGACAAAGCATTTAAAAAACAAACAGAAGCATAAAAATTATCAAATTAAGGGAATTAAATATTTTGCATAGATAATACGAGTATTTCCAACTTGATAGTAACTTCAAAATTGCTCTTTCTCAAGTGTAATTCAAACTTAGAAATCCTAAACAAACATAAATGCATGATTTAATAATTAATAATACCTGTAATAGTAATATCCCGCTCGAGAGCCGATGGTAGCTTCGGTATCGCTGGAATAATCTAGACTTCCCCGGTTACGTCTGAGCGTGGAAGTGCCATATTGACTTCCGGTCGTTCCGTATTTGGATTGAAGCTGGGCAGCTACGGCAGCTTGGTCTACGTATCTCTGATTATATCTGGAGAGGAAAACAAAATATTCTTATAATGGACCTGTTCCACGTCATTCCATTCTTATTAAAATGATTGTTGTTTAATGCCTACTACCTAAACTGTATTGTGTAGCATGGTTACACCAAAGATGGTTAAGTTCCACAGGTTCTTCTGTTAGTGTGGTGGACAATATAGGATGTGTCAACAAGTTTGGAACAAACGGGGGTTTTTATGTTTATACACTCAGATACAAAAAATGCAACGGAGAAATTTTTGGTCAAATTTTTAAGTGTTATATTTTTGTGATTTTTAGCCCTATTTTCATGAATTTTTAGCAAAAACTAAGCTTTTTATAAACTTTAGTATTTGGCATATAATACAGGGTTAATCGAAGGGTTGTTTTTTGCCCTAACTTTAAAACACCCTATGCAATAATTTAGTCTGTAAATTTTCCACAATACATGCTTTGATTCATTTTTAAGAGCGAAATGAACTAATAACGATAAATTTGCAATTTTTTTTAATTATCGTAATTTTTAATATGACGAGATGGTTTTGGTGACTATTATCGTAACGTCATATTACATTGCATTGGATACTTTATACTAAATTTAAAAAAAAACGTTAAAGGCTAAAAATATAGTCTGGGTATTAATAAACATTAATAACGATAACAGAACTATCGATATTAAAGAAAACATCTTAAGTTACAAACAAAAAAAAACAATTGTAAAAAATACCCTAATACTTTGTATTGCCCGCCCTAGGCTGCTAAAACTGCCTGTATACGTTCGTTCATACTGTCATTGAGGCTGTATATATCATATTGCGTTATGTTTTCTCATTCTCCTTTAAGAACCAAGCGAAGTTCATTTAAATGAAGCTGGAACTGCTTCCCAACCTCTTACCCTCCTGTCAAGCATTTGCCAAACGTCTAACATGATGGGCGGTTCATAGTACTATGTAGTTCATAATAAAATCACCAAAGGTGCCTTGTCACATTGAAAAATAACTTCAACAAAGAAATGATAATTGAAAAAATTGCAAATTATTGGTGGCAAGCTCATTTCGCTCTTAAAAATTAACCAAGGCATGTATTGACATGATCCAAAAAACAAAATGCCCAGAAGACATGGTTTTGACCGCAAAATAGAAAAAATTTTTAATCTAAAATTAGAGTAAAAAACAATCCCTCGATTAACCCTGTATAACATGCCAAATACTAAAGTTTATAAAAAACTCAGTTTACGAATAAAAAGTGATATAATTATCTGAGTGTATATGATAATGGGGAATAAATTCAACATGCACAATAACAAAAATAATCATATTGATAAAATTTTACCTGCTAAGTGTAGATCCCGACTTCAAACTGGATCTCAGCAAACTGTGTCTTCCAGCTTGAGTGATACTAGTGTAGTCCGTGTATTCCGTCTGGGGTAGATGTTGATCAGAACCGGATCTGGGCATTATGCGACGACTACCCGTTCCAGCGTGTTGGACATAGTAATGAGATGACGGACTTTGTTGGGACGACATTCTGAAATTATAAAAAAGGTAAATGTATATTTTTTTACTAAGTAGTTTTATACAGATACGGAAGAAAAGTTATTAGTCTTCAAACTAGTTAAAAAATATGTGGGTGGCACCCTCTACAAGTTGGAGCCATATTGACATCAAAATTTCTCGTGTCAAAAAACTCCGAGATACCAATTTTCATCGAAATATTGATGTTACTTCAGAAATTATTTAGAAAAAATCAAAATAAATAAAATTTCTACAGCCTGTATCTGGAAAATAAGCATTTTAGAAAATACATTTATACGATTTCTTCTACTTATTTTTATCTGCAGAATATGCTGCCCAAGTTTCCGAAATACAGTTTGGACCACCCTGTATATTTTAGGTAAGTTATCTATGATATTTTCTTAGTTTATTTTTTGAGATTATAAATAATCAATCCAGTCAAGCAACAAATTGTCATTCTTTTTACAAATATTTATGACTAACTAAAATATTAATAAAGTGTTATTAAATGACTCTACCAATGCCTAAAATATTATAAAATATATTGATTTAAAATACATCGACTGCCTATATACTCATATAGCAGCTTTTAACTTATACATCTTTAGCTTATAACGAAAATAACTAATGTTTTTAAAATAGGTAAGTAAATATATATTGAGTGCAATTATAAAAATATCGATAAATATATAAAACCGATATTGATTAACCATTAGCAGTCTATCAAAATTACATTTTAATAGAGTTCATCAGCTTGTAAACTCTAGACATGACGTGGCGTGCGGTAGCGTAGTAATCATTTCTGTGAGGTATTAAAAAATCAAAAGTTTGGCACGTTAGCTAAAAGTTAATATTACACAAAATTATAAGAACGTAATGTAAGAACAGTTTAATGTTAAGTTAATTGTGGATTTACAAATTTATTTAAAAAATTGTTCCTATTGTTGCGGACCCGTGTGAACTCGGCCTTAGGCCAGCCACTCGGCTATGACTCATACGCCCGGCGACGTTTGAAAACGAATAGAAGTTGGTAGAACACGGCTAAGAATTCTTGAGATAAATCTGGATTGTCTGTTTCTCTCATATACAGGGTGTTTCAAAACAAATGCGAAAAACTTCAGGGGGTGATTCCTTATTCAAAATAAAGGGTAGTTTGCTTAATAAACGTTGGGTCAAAAGTCAACCATTAGGGAGATATCGCGGTACAAAGATGGCGGAAAAATAATGTTTTTATTTTTTATCTTGAAAACGAAAAGCGATAGACTAATGAAATTTTATGGAAGCGTTACTATTATGAAAACACACTTTTTGGTAATTTTTTCACTTTTTTAAAATGAGTGGAAGGGGTTGAAATTAACTACCCCTATCATTCTTGTTAACGAAATTTAAAGAAAAATCTTATCAAACACATGCAAAAAAAATTAAATTGGATAGCTTAGTTTGTTTAGAAACTTTTTTATCTCTTGTGTTTTTTTGATAAAACTCGCCGATTTGCAATTAAAAAATAAAATGTAAAGCATTACATGTCAGGAAAAAAACTTTTTAGATGAAGAACCCTTGCTGTAATTTTTTTAGGAAAAAATCTAGTCGGCCGCTGTCACTTTTTAGGAGGTTTCTAATATTATTTTATTTGACATTACTCTACTGCAATGCGTTATTATCTTACGATCAGTTAATTATTCCGAAGCCTTTTTATGATCTATTTAATTGCGTAAAAAAGGAGTTTTAATTACGTATTACATAATCAGTAAAACAATAATGGTTAATATCACTAATGCTGAAATGGCAGATATGCATTTTATGTATGGGCGTGCAAATAGAAATTCCTTGGAAGCTTGTCGTCTTTATACAGAAATGTATCCGAATCGTAGACCTCCCCACCACAGCACGTTCACTAGGCTTCATCAAAGGCTGCATGAATCTGGAACTTTCGAAAAAAGAAGTTTGGATACCGGCCGACACCGCCAAATTCGAACACCCGAATTAGAAGTTGCTGTCTTAAATATTATTGAAGCGCAACCTGAGACAAGTGCCAGGAATATTGCAGCGGAATTAAATACTTGTGCATCAACTGTATGGAGGATATTAAAAGAACAGCAGTTATATCCTTACTATATACGGAGAGTTCAAGCTCTTTTACCAAGAGATTTCGAGCCGAGAATGACATTTTCCCAATGGTTTCATCAAATGAATATGGAAAACCCTTTTTTTGTTCAAAAATTCTTTTTTCGGACGAAGCTAGTTTCTCAAGAGATGCAATTCAAAACTTCCATAATAGGCATGTATGGGCTGAAGAAAATCCTCATTCAGTTATAGAATCTAGACATCAATATCAGTTTTCCGTTAACGTTTGGATAGGAATTGTCGATGTACATTTAATTGGGCCCCATTTTCTACCTTTAAGATTAACTGGTGAGTCGTATTTTTATTTCCTACAAGAAGAATTGCCTCCTCTACTAGAACATTTACCCCTGCAGATTAGACGAGAGATGTATTACATGCATGATGGTGTTCTAGCACATTTCAGCATAGATGTACGAAGGTATTTACATCTTAATTATGAAAACCGCTGGATAGGAAGGCGGCCTCATTTCTGGCCGCCTCGATCCCCAGATTTGAATCCTTTGGATTTTTGTATTTGGGGATATTTAAAAGAATTAGTTTACGCTACACCAGTACAGGATATCGAAGACCTACGAAATCGCATAATTGCATCATGTGATATAATAAGAAATAATCCTGGTATATTTCAGCGTATTAGGGGCTCAATGTTGCGTAGGATAAATGCATATATTACATCACAAGGTGGACATTTTCAACACTTGTTGTAAAAAATTTAGTAGTAAATTTTAAAGACGTTGTGTTTTTATTTGAGTTGCAATGTTTAAACATTATTTTTTTAACGATATTATTTTGTACTTTCATGAATTAAAATACAGAATTAAAAATTGTTTTAGTAAACAATTTTTAAGAGGTTATCGTTCAGAAGAAAATGTAACGATATTATTACGAAATAAAACTGTTTGACAGCAGCCCACTAGATTCTTTATCTAAAAATGTTTTTTGTGCTGACATGTAATGCTTTACATTTTATTTTTTAATTTCAAATCGGTAAGTTAATCGGCGAGTTTTATCAAAAATCAGTAATCGGCGAGTTTTATCAAAAAAACACAAGAGATAAAAAAGTTTCTAAACAAACGAAACTATTCAAATTAATTTTTTGCATGTGTTTGATAAGATTTTTCTTTAAATTTTGTTAACAAGAATGATAGGGGTAGTTTATTTCAACACCTTCCACTCATTTTAAAAAAGCGAAAAAATTACCAAAAAGTGTGTTTTCATAATAGTAATGCTTCCATAAAATTTCATTAGTCTATCGCTTTTCGTTTTCAAGATAAAAAATAAAAACATTATTTTTCCGCCATCTTTGTACCGCGATATCTCCCTAATGGTTGACTTTTGAGTCAACGTTTATGAAGCAAACTACCCTTTATTTTGAACAAGAAATCACCCTCTGAAGTTTTTCGCATTTGTTTTGAAACACCCTGTATAAGCAGACGCCCGAAGCCTGAGGAGGACAGAGAAAAACAACCGGTCGACGCGTACAGTTACAATCGCCGCGCTAATTCAAAATAAATTCCTGTTAGATAAATAGTTAGATAAATTGTAAATTAGTTATAAATAGTTCTTTAAGTTTTTTTAATCGTTATTGTTTGTTAATTAGTGTTAAATAAATTGTGTTTATATAAATTGTGACTTTCTATCCACACGGAATCGACCAAAAAGTAACACTAGGTATAAATCTTCTAATATATGAAATTCTCGTGTTCATATATGGCAGTAACAGTTGTCATTGCTAATATCTTTGGTTTGGAAAAAAAATATCCAGATGTGGTTTTTGCTGACTTTTTAAGTTTTTATTCCTCTATACTATCAGCTAAAATTGTATATACTATTGCATTTAATTTTTATGAAAAAACGCGCAATTTTTTTAAATTGTAAGACAGCGCCCTTTAGCGTCTACTGTTAAATAATGATTATTGTTATTTATATAGTATAATATAGTATAAGGAATGTTCCATTAAATGAGCCCTAGTTCATTGGATTCCGATTAACCAATTCTCAAAGATATTAAAGCAAATTTAACCTTCCCCCACTACTTCATTTTATGAGATGGGGTAAAATTGTTCAAACAAGAAAAATTCGAAATTTGCTAAAGATTATGACAACCTTTTTTATAGTACCCCTTATCTATGGCCTCTTTAGTTATAAATATTTTTTCCGCAGACTGTCTTAGACTTCTTAGTGAAACACCCGGTATAATTATTAATGCATACCTTCGGTAAATCGTAAAAACCAATTGAAATTAATAAAGTCTATACTTTTAATAAATATAAATGTGAAAATATGCGTCTGCTGATTGCACATTGGGGGAAAAACCGTCAGTCAGACCATGGAAAATCCCGCACGTCGTATAAATGACTGACTGTCTTACCACCGCTAGACACGCAACTGACGGTTATTGTTATAATTCTATATAAGTACGAAATTTTATTTAAAAGTTTCAAACGGGATGAAATAATTTGAATGTCGAATTTTTTTTTCTCAAGTTCAGGAGCCCGACTGACGTATTTTCCACCCTCAGCCGACCGGCTGACGCTCGTTTTTTATTACTATATAACATCAATATTACATACAAGTAATTTCACGTGGGATGAAATAACTTCAAATAGCTAGTACTACTCAGATAGCAACAGATATTTTATTATATTTATATTTGATTTTAATCAGAAATTACCTGGAAGGTACTGGTTGGCCACCAGCCGACATTCTACGACCCATTCCAAACGAGTGAACTTTTTCTGCCAAACTTTCCAGAGTGTTAGGATATCCACGGTCGTACTGAGGGAAATGCGGTTGAGAAGACTTCGGTTGTTCGGTTATTACAGGTGGAGGTGGTTGGTAACCCCAACTGGTGTCAGGAGGCCGACTGGAAAGAGATAAATATAACTATATACACATTCAAAGTATACGCAAAAAATTCTCCATCAAGAAAGTCTTTTTTATTATTAAGCAGCCTCTACACTATGCGGAAAACTATTCGAAACAGGTCAAGGTCGCGTTTCATCGCCCAACTTTGTTGCATTTCGGTTTATTTCCAGTTGTCTTGACCCATTTCGGTTTGCCTCGACGTACTTTCGATTCTTAAAAGCGCCTGAAAACTACTCGTGAGGAGGGCGTGGTGGATTTTTTTTGGCGTTTCTTGTTGCCTTGTTCAATTTTGTTTTTTTCAAAAACGTGGCGGTATCTGTGCCCAAGGCAAAGGACTTTTTTTTCATAAATTTCAGTGAAATAAGTAAACCTAGACGTTTCTAAGATATCTGTTGTTACGATGATATTTCATTAATTGCATCTCGTTTTATGTTGATATATATTCCAAAAAAATAATATTTGAACACGCGTTATGCCGCAACCGCACAAGCGGCATTTGGCGATCTCCGATCGGGGCTTCGCCAATTTCCTATGTTTGTGTATGGGGAAGTCGGAGTTCGGCGACTCGATCGGAGACGAGAACGAGCGCTCGTCTCTATATTGCTGCTATCAGAGCCTGCATGTGTTGATGGAAAGGCAAAGTCCGATCACGAGCGCTCGGAGTTCGCTAAATGCCGCATGTGCGGTTGCGTCATTAGTCACTGTTTTATTTTTAATGTATTCTAATTAATAATATTAGACAATGACTAAAACTAAATAATCTTGTGTAACCTTCGAGGAATAGCCAATTTAATGTACCATCGGTAACTGTTTTCATATTAGTTTTTCCATGTTTACTTATTTTTCTGAAGCCAACACAACGTTTAATCTTGATTGTTTCGTGCTATTTCACAAAATAGTACGTTAAATATAAGCCCGTGTTATAAAAATTAGTTCCCACGTTTCTTTTCTCTTTTTTTCCCACGTGATTGGTTGTTTGTTTTTTATTGCTAATCTGGGTTAACAACTAATTTTTATAACACGGGCTCATATTTATCGTACTATTTCCAGAAATGTTTTGCGAAATGTTTTACGAAATATTTCCAGAAATAATTAAGATTGTTTATTCCCAGAAATATTTCGTAAAACATTTCGGGAATAGTGTAGAGGCTGTTTTAGAGATAAATATAAATAAAATTAGGTAACGCAGATAGTATTTGCTTGTCTAAAAAGCAAAAACTAGGTCATCATCAGAATAGTAATTTCTGACTTAATAGATAACCTTAACAAATATGAATCTGACAGATTTTTTAATCCTAAAGTATATTTTCTTTTCTACCTGTTATAATACAAATCAAGTCCATTTGAATCGGGCTGTTGTGAGTGCTGTTGCGAGTGTCTGTCAGTTTGCCGATCCAAAGTGGATAAGCCAAGACCGAGGCGAGACCTAGATTCGTTCATTTCGCGTCCATCGCCTGTATGTCTTTGCCTCATGGGATCTCTGGAAAAAAAACATTGATTTGGTTTGAACAGTTGTTGATCTGTTGTAGTTTGAACATATTTAACTTCGTTTTTAATTTGATTATTTTTTTTTATTTAAATATAAATCAATGAGTCGTGACTGACTACATTCGTTTAAATATATATTTTTTAAACGTACATAACTTTAACACCTGTCGGTATCTAGATTTAGACAGTTAAGATATATGATATAAATTGGGATTGATTGACGTATTCATTTGTCTTTGGTAACTTCCGGTTTTACCAGAAATGACTACAACTTTTGATTTTTAAATGGCTTTCCCAGTATTTTTTACTTTATTCGATAGAAAATGACACTCTGAATAGAATTACATAGGTATTATTTGTCAACTTTTGAAATTTTCGCTTAAAACAAATCGTATTTAAAATTTTAATCGAGAGTGCCATGGCTGTGTTAAAAACACTAATTTTTAATCAACGAGCCTTGGAAAAAGAAATTTAATCGTCTAATGTTTTTCGTGTCTTGTCCAGACCGGTGAAAAGATGCCCAAATCGTATTTGTAATCATATCTCAATTTTTACACACGAAACGAGAGTGGCTCATTAGCATATTTGGAAAAAGCATTTTTTACAAATAATTTGGTACCAAACACTTGGTACTTTCAATAAAAAAAAACATGCAAAATTGTCAAAAGTTGACAGATGATACGTCATTCTATTCAGAATGTCAATTTTTATCGAACAAAACTTTTCACTTATTGATTCTTCCTGGCGAAGATTAATTTACCGTAAGGGGGTGAGATTTTATTTTAAAAACAGATTATATTATTTTATATCGCGAAAAGAGAGGGCACAAAAATCTTATTTTAATGGCGAAAGAGAATTGGGGGCCATTAAATGCAGGATTTAGTCTGGCCAATGCGGAGTGCGTTTAAATTTAGCGATCGTAGCCAACAATGATTTTAGAACAGTGTTAAGAATAATGTTTCTATGAGAGAACATTCTTAAGGATGAAAAAAGACATCACGATGTTAATAAATAACTTTGATATAAAATCTTTATTTTTGTTGTTAGATGTACATATGTATATTGGATACAAAATAATTTTTTTAAGTTGTCACATTTATTTATTTATTTCCTGACAGTGTCATTCGTTTCGACACTTTAGTTTTGAATTACGAGTTCTTGTATTAAATGAATTATGTTGTGATACTTCAACCTTTAAAACTTTTACTAGCAGAGCTTACAGTCGAACATTATTCTTTTTAGAATCTCATTTAGTGCAAAGTGTACAAGATAGCTTAATAGCCGTAAAAAACTCATCGCAACATTATTAGAATATTTTGAACGGGTAAGCGATAGTAATGGCCCTTTATGTCCCTTAAGTGCTGTTAAAAAGGTGCGTTTTGTTGATGTAAATAATAACTGTTTATATATTTAATTTATAACTAATTTATGTTTCTTTCCTAAAATATTTTGATTAAAAGAAAATATGTAAAAGTGGGCAACGCTGTGCCGGTTAAGCTTAATGACGTGACTAAAAGTTTTTCTGATATGAACTATAGATATTCAGTAAGCGACTTATTTTTATTATACAGGGTGGCCCATCGAAAACGTTCCGCAAGGCATAACGGCCAGGGTAATTTTTTTTCAGAAAATTCAAAAACACGTCAATTTTGTTTGTGGGGGGACAACTTTTGCCCCAAAAATGATTGCAAAATCTTCAACCCTCTAAGCGGGGGTGTCATCCCCCAATTTTTTTCAAATTGGAAGGGGGGTCAAGCGGTACCGCAATGAAAAGAGTTTTCTATTCTCTATACTTTCCCGCTTCGTTTTTGAAAATCGGTCCAGTCATTGAGAAAATATGAAGGATTGAAATTTAAAAATTTTATTTAAACATTTATCAGAGTAACAATAAGGATAAATTCCTTCGACCAATTTGCAGTTTTTTCTTATTATTTCTATATGTTTACGCATTTTTTCCATAGCCAGAAGGTTGAACGATCAGGTGCGGTAGTTGCTAGATAGCTGTTCTGTGACTTGTGCGTTGAAGCGTTTGAAGTTCTTTTCAATATCGTTAAACTTTTTAACAATTATGGTGTACTCACTTGCAGAAAGAGTGGAAATAATCGAACTTTATTTTAAAAATGATGAATATGGCAATCGGGCTGCGCAGATATTCAATGAACGCCATCCTGACGAACACCTTTATGGCAAAATTGTTCGCGAGTTAGTAGCAAAATTTCGCGAAACTGGTTCCGTTATGAATAAAAAGAGGCAGAGGGAAAATCCTGTCGTAAATGAAGCTATGGAGGTATTCGTATTGGGCGAAGTTGCCATGGATAGTACGCTGAGTACAAGAAAATTAGCCAATGAGACCGGCGTGAATCGTACAAGTGTCCACAGGATATTAAGAAAACACAAGTTCCACCCGTACAAAATTCAGTTGGTACAAGAACTCAACAAAGACGATTTTGATCGTCGTTTGCAATTTTGTGAAACTATGAGTGAACGAGTGGCGAATGATAATAATTTCCTATTTAATGTGTGTTTTTCGGATGAGTGTACTTTCTTTTTGAACGGTGTAGTTAATCGGCACAACTGTCGATACTGGGCTCAGGACAACCCCAGGGTTTTTTACGAGGTGCACACCCAAAACCATCGGAAATTAAACGTGTGGGCTGGTATTTTTGGAAATTCTATTGTAGGTCCTTTTTCTCTTCCTGGAAATCTAACAGGTGATATGTACTTGGATTTACTGGAAAATACCATCGACCCAGCCCTAACTGACATCATAGAGAACAATCCTGGATACGTTGAAGCGGAACTAATATTTCAACAAGACGGTGCGCCTCCACATTATTCTCAAAATGTGCGTAATTATTTAAACAATAACTTTCCCGGTTGGTGGATAGGACGAAGGGGTGCAGTTGAGTGGCCTCCCCGGTCACCCGACGTGACTCCTTTAGACTTTTTTCTATGGGGACACATAAAAAGTAAAGTGTATAGCACTCCACCCGCCTCATTAGAAGACCTGCGAAGACGAATTATTGATGTTTGTCGCGAAGTGACCCCGCAAGTTCTTCAGAATGTTCGAGAACGGTTTGAAAATAATTTGTATTACTGTATGGGTTGGCGGGCAACATTTTCAGCATTTGCTTCATTAATAAGGTAAGTTTTTTTTAATTAATTTAATTTATGCGTTTTTTTTGCAACAAATACTTTTCAAATTTCAATCCTTCATATTTTCAAAATGACTCGACCGATTTTTAAAAACGAAGCGGGGAAATATAGAGAATAGAAAGCCCTTTTCATTGCGGCGCCACTTGACCCCCCTTCCCATTTGAAAAAAGTTGGAGGATGACACCCTCGCTTAGAGGGTTGAAGATTTTGCAGTCATTTTTAGGGCAAAAGTTGTCCCCCTCACAAACAAAATTAACGTGTTTTTGGATTTTTTGATAAAACAAATACCCTGGCCGTTATGCCTTGCGGAATGTTTTCGATGGGCCACCCTGTATGTGGATTACTGCCTTTGTTCGAATTCAGATTATTCTTTTTTTGTGCTATCTATAGGTGACTTTAAAACTGTGGAATGTGAATTATTTTAATAACCGTTTCATTAAAATAGTCATTGCACTTGTAACGTCTTACATTCTGTGTGATTTCAGATTAAATTGCTTTTATTGGACTTTTTGATTATTGTCTCGTGCACTAGATCAAATTCGCGCCAGAGAGACACTTCAAATTTTAATATCGAAAAAGAATCGAAGAAAAGAAAATGATCATTAACGGCAGGCTTTATTCGACTGCTGAGTGGCTTTAAACTTCCAGATCTGCGCTAATAATGATTTTACTGGAGTATTTTCTCGATAATAGACTAAGAAATATTATTATTTGGAGAGTTTTTTTGAATATTGGAGGTTGGTTAATACATAATTGGATGATTATAAAATATATTTTTCAATGAAAATAATGAATATCGAAAGTAGCGAAGACGAACGCTTGACAGTTAAATCGGTAACCAGTTGATTCATGCCTGCGAAGGCAAAACATTGCTACAAAAAACAGCGTTTCAAAATTGCGGTATGAAAATACCGACAAGTCACTGATTTACGTTCGATTAGTTGAGTTGGATCCATTCTGTTTTTTAACTTTTTGATCAAATATGCACTCATTTTTCCTTTTGAAGTTCTTTTCTGTTAAATTTTTCAAGTTTACATTTTTCTGACCGGGAGTAAATCTTTCTCGCAAAATTTATTATAGTTTCTATCGTGAAGGAGTGAAAAATTATAAAGTTTTTTTTTCAAATTTTGGGAAAATGACTAGAATTAGAAAGAAAAAAGCTCAAATAAAAGTTGTAGAGCGTCAAATTCTCCATAAAAATGATTTCTATACTTTTCTTGCTCAAATCAAAATTAATAGTCTAAGAGCTGGCTACATAAAAAACCTTATCATCGTTAGATGGCTAATTTTTCTTTTACTATCCTTTTATGTAGCCATTATGAAATAGTCATGTCTGCCAGCGCGATTCCGGTGCTTAAAGCGGGGGCGGCCGATCGAAAAGGTGAAATTTTGACACTAAAAATATTATAAGGGACACGATTTATAATTGCGAAAATAGCTTTTATTTATTATTAAGAAACGGGGAAAATTGTTGCCAGACATTTTTCTCCTCACTAAAATGCCGGCAGACAACGCGAAAGAGGCATAAAATTTTGAAAAAAAATCATGGCATACATGCATGCCGATTGGTGGAATGTCATTTATTTATTTTAAAAGCCGTATACAAAAGGGCAGACAAAAAGATCGATAAATCATGTATACCATTATATTATAAATATATTTTTTATGATTTCAATAACAGATATCATATATTTACTATTCTATCTCATTATTTGTATCTGACTCGTCGTACTGCAGATCCTCGCTCTCGCAAACGAGTCTTTCTCTGAGTCGATATCTGCACCGTCAAATTTTAGTAGACTTCATGTATTATGTTTCAATTGATAACGCGGCGAG